CGCTGAGAGGTCCAGCAGAACTAACAGGGACACACTCCCCCTGTCCAGCTCCCTGCGAAGATCATCTACCAAGGCGACCAAGGCTGTTTCCGTTCCATGTCCCGGTCTAAAGCCAGACTGTGCCGCATCAAGATCATCAGTGTCTACCAGAAATCCCTGGAGTTGTGCTGCCACCACACGTTCCAGGACACAGCCTATCCCAGAATATCAAGCAGAAATTTCCACATTATCTGCTTTGAACTGGGATATATAGTAGTATGGACTCATAAACCATGGCAGTCTGGAAAGGCTCTGAGAGCTGGCATGGATTAGTGATTTGAGAGTAGGACCAGGACTCTAGAGATCAAGCTGTGAATCTTTTCTTAACCATGGAAACCTACTAGGGCCCTTCCACACAAGCCCTATATCCCAAAATATCAAGGCAGAAAATCCCACAATATCTGGTTTGAACTGAGTTACCTGAGTCCACACTCATATAATGTAGGATTTTCTGCCTTTATATTCTGGGATAGAGGGCTGTGTGTAAGGGCCCCTAGTTGACCTTGGAAAAGCCATACATTCTCAGCCCCAGAGCAGCAACAAAAACTTCCAGGGCCCTATTCTGGGTTATATGGTTGTGTAGAAGGGCCCTAGGTTATCTGAGTCCACACTGCCACATATTCCAGTTGAAAGCAGATAATCCACAATATCTGCTTTGAACTGAGGACCCTTCCATACAGCCATATAACCCAGAATATCAAGGCAGAAAATCCCACATTTTGGGCTTTGAACTGTAATGTATGGCAGTGTGGACTCTGATATCCCAGTTCAAAGCATATATTGTGGGATTTTTTGCCTTGATATTCTGGATTATATGGCTGTGTGGAAGGCCCTAAGACCCCAGTTCAGATTCACCAATTCATTGAAATGAGAACCAACGGGAACCACGGCTTTTCACTGAAACTCCCTGGCTTTATGTATCTATTATTTAAAATATTGAATCCCATGTTGGGATAAAGATGGGATAGAAATCCAACCAATAAATGTTTGTATTTCATAGGAAAGAATATACACCACTTCTGAGTATAGTATTCCTTGCCTGAGCAACCCCATGAAATTCATAGTTTGACAAGTGAATTAAAAGCATATACGTCTAAATTAGTCAATGAACACAAATATGGTACCATTCTGGAAAACACTGGGTGGTGGTGTCCCTTTCTTGCCTTGTAGTTGTAGCTAACAGCTGTCTGAGGACCCTTCCTCACAACTGAATAAAATCTCACATGTTCTGCTTTAAACTGGGATATATGGCAGTGTGGACTCAGATAACCCAGTTCAAAGCAGGTCTTGTGGAATTTTCTGCCTTGATATTCTGGGTTATAGGGCTGTGTGGAAGGGCCCTGACGCTGGATCTACACTGCCCTATATCCCAAGATCTGATCCCAGATTATCTGATTTGATCTTGATTATATGAGTCTATACTGCCATATAATCCAGTTTAAAGCAGATAAGCTGGGATCAGAGACTGGACTGTATGGTAGTGCAGATATGGTCGGAGTTGATTTTCTTCATGCCAGCTTTTCTCCAGGCTCAGCTTTCCCACGCCACACCGAGTTCACCTACATTAGATAAAACTCACAAGCACTGGTTTGGTTTATTATAAATATTTTATTATCTATAATAAACTGAACTTATGGGGATTGGTTGATGCCAAATAAAGATAGTTCCTGGGGGCCCTTCCACACAGCCCTATATCCCAGAATATCAAGACGGAAAACCCAACATTATCTGAGTGTGGACTCAGATAACCCAGATCAAAGCAGATAATGTGGAAATTTCTGCTTGATATTCTGGGATAGGCTGTGTCCTGGAACGTGTGGTGGCAGCACAACTCCAGGGATTTCTGGTAGACACTGATTATCTTGATCTGGCACAGTCTGGCTTTAGACCGGGACATGGAACGGAAACAGCCTTGGTCGCCTTGGTAGATGATCTTCGCAGGGAGCTGGACAGGGGGAGTGTGTCCCTGTTAGTTCTGCTGGACCTCTCAGCGGCCTTCGATACCGTCGATCACGGTATCCTTCTGGGACGCCTCATAGACATGGGTCTTGGGGGTACTGCTTTGCAGTGGCTCCAGTCATTTCTTGAGGGACGGTCCCAGAAGGTGTTACTGGGTGACACCTGTTCGGCCCCACAACCGTTGTCGTGTGGAGTCCCACAGGGTTCGATTCTGTCCCCAATGTTATTTAACATCTACATGAAGCCGCTGGGGGAGATCATTCGGAGTTTCGGAATGAGATGTTATCTCTACGCAGATGATGTCCAAATCTGTCACTCCTTTCCACCTGTCACCAAGGAGACTGTCCAGACCTGTCACTCCTTTCCCTGTCACCAAGGAGGCTGTCCAGACCTTGAATCGGTGTTTAGCTGCTGTGTCGGACTGGATGAGAGCTAACAAATTGAAATTGAATCCAGACAAGACAGAGGTCCTACTGGCCAGTCGTAAGGCCGAACAGGGTATAGGGTTACAGCCTGTGTTGGACGGGGTTACACTCCCCCTGAAGACGCAGGTTCGCAGCTTGGGAGTGATCCTGGACTCATCGCTGAGCCTGGAACCCCAGGTCTCAGCGGTGGCCGGGAGAGCTTTTGCACAATTAAAACTTGTGCACCAGTTGCGCCCGTACCTTGGGAAGTCTGATCTGGCCACAGTGGTCCACGCTCTTGTTACATCCCGAATAGACTACTGCAACGCGCTCTACGTGGGGTTGCCCTTGAAGACTGTTCGGAAACTTCAACTAGTCCAGCGAGCGGCAGCCAGATTGCTCACCGGAGCGACATACAGGGAGCATACCACCCCCCTGCTGTGCCAGCTCCACTGGCTGCCGATTCAGTTCCGAGCACAATTCAAGGTGCTGGTTTTGACCTACAAAACCTTGTACGGTTCCGGTCCAGTGTATCTGTCCGAACGTATCTCCCTCTACGTCCCACCTCGGAGTCTGAGATCATCTGGGGAGGCCCTGCTCTCGACCCCACCACTGTCACAAGTGAGGCTGGTGGGGACGAGGAGCAGGGCTTTCTCAGTGGTGGCCCCTCACCTGTGGAACTCACTCCCGGGGGAAATCAGGGCATCATCATCCCTCCTCGCCTTTAGGAGAAGGGTGAAGACTTGGTTATGGGACCAGGCCTTTGGGCACTCCGGCAATTAAATCAGACAACCAGGCGAGTAAGACCAGCAGGATTGATGAAGTGGAACGTAAAACTAGATCTATGAGTAGCGAACGCTGACCATGTAAGAGGAGAAACTGGGTTTGTATTTGGTTTATTGATTTTATTGATTTTATGGTTATAATGTATATTTGGTGTTAACTGTGTATTGATGTAATTTTGTGTTTGATTGTTTTTATGATGCAGGCATCAAATTGTGCCTTGCTTTTGTAAGCGCCCTGAGTCCCCTTCGGGGTGAGAAGGGCGGGGTAAAAGAACCCCAAATAAATAATAAATAAATACACACCCTCCAAATGGGAAGTTTAGTTCCACAACCCTGTGTATTTTTATGAGCTCCCTGCAAATAACCTGCTCCTATTTTTATCTCATTAGTTTTCTAATCATTTTATTCTGTACATGTGGCCTGCCCACCGTTATCGTGATTGTGTTTATTGGAATGTTATTTTGTTACTGTGTTTATATTTTTTCCCCTATGTAATTTTGATGATGTTGCTTGTTATGTTCTGGTTTTATTTTGCTGTAACATGTTGTCTGGGCTTGGCCCTATGTAAGCCGCTCCGAGTCCCCATTGGGGAGATGGTGGCGGGGTATAAATAAATATTATTATTATTAATATTATTACTAGCCGTCGCCTGCCACGTGTTGCTGTGGCCCAGCCTGGTGATCTGGAAAATAAAGTCATGAGAAAGTGTTGGTTTCTAATATATGTATTGTCTTGATGCTTGTGGGTAAAAAGTATTTCTTGCTGTTTCTTTGTCAGTGTTGATGTGGAGATCGTATGGTTTGCCTACTCTGGAACATGCCACATCTAATTGTCCTTCTTTAGGTGTCCCTTTCAAATCTATGATACTATCTCTCTCTGTGTGTGAATCATATCTATCTATATCTATGGCTGATTGGCTCGTCAGGAGGGCTTTGATTACATTTTCTTGCCCTGGTGAAGGGAGTTGGACTGGATGGCCTGAAGTATTTTCTGTTGGTCATGGGGGTTCTGTGTGGGAAGTTTGTCCTGATTCTGTCGTTGGTGGCGTTCAGCATACTCTTTGATTCTAGGTGAACTATAAATCCCAGTAACTACAACTCCCAAATGTCAAGGTCTATTTCCCCCAAACTCCATCCGTGCTTATATTTGGGCATATGGAATATTCGTGCCAAGTTTGGTTGTGATCCATCATTGTTTGAGTCCACAGTGCTCTCTGGATGTAGGTGAACTACAACTCCCAAACTCAAGGTCAATGCCCACCAAACCCTTCCAGTATTTTCTGTTTGTCATGGGAGTTCTGTGTGCCAAGTTTGGCTCAATTCCATCGTTGGTGGAGTTGAGAAGGCTCTTTGACTGTAGGTGTACTATAAATCCCAGCAACTACAACTCCGAAATGGCAAAATAAAAAAAAAATGAGTGAAGGACATACATTGGGTTGTGAGACATTTTGTTGCCAAATTTGGTGTGATTTCGTTCATTTGTACTGGGATATATGGTAGCGCGGAGTCAGATAACCCAGTTCAAAGCAGATATTGTGGCATTTTCAGCCTTGATATTCTGGGAGAGAGGGCTGTGTGGAAGGGCCCACAATTTGGCGGGAAAGTGCGGAGCACGCGCCTGAGTAGCAGCAGGGGACTCAGGGAGGGAGGGCATCCCAGCGCGAAAGCCCGCCACACTTTGCAGGGAATAATGGCCCGCTTGGAAGGGCCCTACGTCTCCTAGGCAACGGGGGGTTCCACAGAACAGCCGCCACTCCTCCTCCTCCCTCCCTCCCTCCCTCTCTGGGGCGATAATGGGAAGCGCTTTCAGGTGTGAAGCTGGCTCAGGTGGCGTCGCCCCGCCAAAGGAGCCGGCATGATGCTGGCCCCGCCCTCGCCCCTGGCCGCGAGCCGCCGGAGAAAGAAGCCCCGCCCCAGCCCCGCCGGAGGGAGCAGAGAGGTGAGCGCGCGGGCCCGGGAAGCAAGGGCCACGAGGCAGCCTGCAAAGAAAGCGGGAAAGAGCGCATTTCCCTTCCTAAGAGAAGATTTCTCTCACTCCCTGTTACCTCGTCCCGTTCTTAACTACGAGGCGGGTGTTTGTAACCCAGGGATTACCTGTCCTTGCTTTGTTAGTGCCTTCTCCGCTGGCTCTTTTCCTCTCACCTGACTTGCAAGGCCAAACAATTCCTTCATGTCTCTGCTGAGTTCTATCTGTCCTTCCCAGTTAATAGTCCTCCCACTGGGTGTACTTCCACTGCATGTGCTTTGGCCTTATATATTCCCATAGAATCGCATTGTTTTTATTTCGTCAAATGGTGTCCTGTCTATTTGCCCCTTCCACACAGCTGAATAAAACCCCACATTATCTGCTTTGAACTGAAATATATGCCAGTGTAGACTCAGATAACCTAGTTCAGGGGTCCACAAACTTTTTTGAACAGAGGGCCAGGTCACAGTCCCTCAAACTGTCGGAGGGCCGGATTATAATTTGAAGAAAAAAAAATGAATGAATTCCTATGCACACAACACATATCTTATTTGTAGTGCAAAAGCCACTTAAAAACAATACAATAATTAAAGTGAAGAACAATTTTAAAAACTATAAATTTATTAGTATTTCAATGGGAAGTGTGGGCCAACTTTTGGCTGATGAGATAGGATTGTTGTTGTGTGCTTTCAAGTTGTTACAGACTTAGGTTGACTCTGAGCGAGGGCCGGGTAAATGACCTTGGAGGGCCGTATCCAGCCCCCAGGCCTTAGTTTGAGGACCCCTGACCTAGTTCAATGCAGATATTGTGGGTTATCTGCCTTGATATTCTGGGGGTCCTTCCACACAGCTGAATAAAACCCCACACTTTCTGTTTTGAACTGGAATATATGGCAGTGTGGGCTCATAACCCAGCTCAATGCAGATCTTGCGGGTTTTTCTGACTTCATAGTCTGGGTTGTATTGCTGTGTAGAAGGCCCTATGTGTGCCAAAAGTTGTGCTCAAGGTGGCTCAAAATAAACAGATAATAGAAAATGCACAATATCAATGATACAGAAATTATAGAAGCACGCTCACACACATACAGATATACATATGAATGAGTTTATGTATGTATATATAGTGAGAGAGGAGAGACAGATTGAGGGCCCTTCCAGACTGGAAGGCCAAAGGTTTCTCCCCTTGGTCTATATCTAAGTGTGGAAGGCTACACTATGGACCACACTTAGATATAGACCAAGGGGAGAAACCTTTGGCCTTCCAATGTTTTGAAGTCCAACAATGTGTTAGTACAAACATTACTAACACATTAACAAATGAAATAGGCTCTGTGGCCCCTTCCACACAGCTGAATAAAACCTCACATTATCTGCTTTGAACGGGAATATATGGGTTAAATGTGTCCACACTTAGATAATGTGGGATTTTCTGCCGTGAAATTCTGGGATATAAGGGTGTATGGAAGGGCCCTCAAATAACCCAGTTCAAAGCAGATATTGTGGGATTTTCTGCCTTGAAATTATGGGATAGAGGGCTGTGTGGAAGGGCCCAATGAAATATTATTATTAAAAGTAAGGGAAAATAGAAAAATTAATATATAAATAAAGTGACAAAATAACTAGAAGAAATACGAATAGCATAGGTCTAGAGGAGAAGATAAGAAAAAGATGGGACAATATAAGAAGGAAGATCAACGAGAAAGACAAATGGTATAAAAAAGAAAAAAAATCTGTTTGTTTTCCTAAGTAAAAGACATTGCGAATGGAACTACTTTAAAAATAGAATATGTATATCAATACCCTCCCTTTCCTCATTCTTGGATGTACATTAGACTTCTGGATAGATCTAACTTACTAACAAAATTCCATAATTACCTTACTTGGCCTTTCCCCCCACTCTTATGGTATAAAAAGTGTGAAAATGAAATAAATACTCTTTGAAACAAATTAAAACTAAAATAAAATTTCTGAGGTGGAAAAGGATTGCAGAACATTACACTAACCCCCACCCCCCAAAAAACCCCCAACAAATCAGAGCAGGGCTTAGCAGAAGGCAAATCTAGCCTCCCGCAGAGGGGTGCTCCAATGCCTGAGGTGCCAACCAAGGCATCTTGTTTCATATTTCTACTGAATATGATTCCAGTGATTGTGAGTCAAAGGGAAGGCTGGAAGGGACTGGACCCGTCCCCTCCTCTGGGATGGAAATAAACCTTGCTCCCCTTGGACTTTTTGCAGCCTGTTTACTGCGCTTTCATTAAGGTAGTTTTGCTCTCCACTGGAACAAATTCTTCCCTGTGTTTCCTACTCCTCCACCTCTTCCTCTCTCTCTCTCTCCCTTCCTTCCTTTCTTTCTGTCTGCTGCTTTCCCTCCCCACTTCTGCTCACCGCCCACCTCCTGCTTCAGTGGTTTCAAGTGCTTCCTGCCCCCCTTTTGAAGGCGTTTAGTTGGAGCTCAACTTATGCTTTGCCAAGGTAAAAATCCCTTCTTGGACTTCGGGGGGGAGATGGCGGAAGGGCTCTGCAGAGGGTGTCCGGCTCTGAGTGCACCTCCTACACTGTCAAATTAATGCAATTTGACAGCACCTTTGCTACCGTGGGTTTGATAAAACAGCCACACTCTAGCCATAAGGCTCTAAAGCAGGCATGGGCAAACTTCAGCCCTCTAACCGACTGTTAGGCATTGTGGGAGTTGGAGACCAAAACACCTGGAGGGCTGAAGTTTGCCCATGCCTGTTCTAAAGACCTTATGAAACTATAGCTCCCATAATTCCATAGCTTTCAGCCATAGCAGTTCAGGTGATGCTGAACTGCATTAATTCTACAATGTAGATGCACCCTAAGTCACCCTGTTTTCAACAGCCTTGCTTGGGTTTTGCAGACTCCAGGACATGTCTTCCTTGATTAAGTCCATCCAGAAGCAGTGTTGAGCCTCCACATTGATTAATCCTTTTTACAATGTTTCATGAATGCTGCAAAGGGGTTGTCCCTGTGGGCTCAATCCCACCAAGACAACTGCAAGGGGGCTGGCTCCTCCAAAAAATACTCGACAGTGCTTGCCTCCAACCCCCCCCCCCCCAAAAACAGCCCAACAATCCAAAAATAGAATCATCAAGGTTGCTATGTAGTTGAATATCCTAAGGCATTATAAGTCTGAAGTATAGCAAAATGACCAAGTGCTCAGAAACAACAAGCCATTGAAAACTACCACAAATTATAAGGAGTGTCTGCTGTCTGTCTTGTGCTCACTTATTTGGGAATGAGCTACACTAAACACATAGAGGACACTTTGGAGTGCACATTGTGCTTGTAACAATGTTTCAATTGCAGTTTTAAATATACTAACTACAACTTTGGAGACTAGAGTTTGGTTTCTCACTCGGGTCCCTTCTACACTGCCTTATAGCAGATAATCCACAGTATCTGCTTTGAACCAGATTATATGAGTCCACACTGCCATATAATCCAGTTCAAGGCAGATAATCTTGATTTTATATGGCAGTGTAGAAGGGGCCTCAGCTATGGAAACCCAATAAATGCTAATCAAACATTTACACTTGCCTCAAACAGACAAGAGTTCACATATATATAAACCCCATTTTCCTAATTTCCTACAAACCACACAACTTCTAAGGATGCCTGCTACAGATGCAGATAATCCAGTTCAAGGCAGATAATCTTGATTTTATATGGCAGTGTAGAAGGGGCCTCAGCTATGGAAACCCACTGAGCAGTTCAGCAGTGGACTATGCTACTGCTTTGGAGTGCAGTGGAGGCACAATCCGGAAAACTAATGTTACGGGAGTGTCCCCGTTTTCCAAGATTCCGAGATCAGCGAGGAAGGAAGAGGCAGAGACAGCTGCTGCAAGTTCACAGAATTTATTGCTTACCCCGGGTAAGGGCGCCCCAGCTTCAACATGGCTGATGTGGCACAGAGCACTACCCCAAAAGCAACCAGTATTTATAGGCAGAATTACTTAGTTTGCACATGCGCATAATTTTCTTGACATTTACACAATCTAATCAGTATCAGTTTGTCCTCGAGGAATCACAGCCAAGAACCCTTGTTTGGCAAGATATTATAATTTCCACTGCTCCCCTTTCATCAGCTGACCAGACTCATTCCCAGAGGAGATACATAAAAGTAAATCTTAACTTCATATATCTCTTCATACATATATATGACTCCATACATCTTCATATGTGTATCTTTAACTTATTCAAAACAAGCATTTCCCTTATTACCGTATATTCCGGCATATAAGACGACTGGGTGTATAAGACGACCCCCAACTTTTCCAGTTAAAATATAGAGTTAAGACGACTCCCATGCATAAGACTACAGCCGCGTATAAGACGACCCCTGACTTTTGAGAAGATTTTCTTGGGTTAAAAAGTAGTCTTATATGCCAGAATATACTGTAATTCTTCTGTAATTACTTTCACATCATTTTCCTATATTCTTACTTATGTAGGATTGTTCATAAGACTGAATTACCTGCTATTTACATCAGATGGAGGATAGATGGCGCTGTTGTACCATATCTTCAGATGTCTGTTTTTCTTAGATCAATAATTATCGATTTACTTTTAGAGCCAATTCTCTGACCTTCCACATTTAGCACATAGCCGTCCTTCTATTTATTTACTTAAGATATGGTTTCTCCTGCCTTGTCCCAGTCCTGTTCCATCTGTCAATTTTCCCTTCCACCAGAATTCTACCCCCGTACCTTAAGAAAACCTTTAAGGTAAGACTTCTTCATTAATTTCATTAGGTTCTAATTATTTTTCTTCTTGATGACTGCCACACTAACAACAACCCAGTGATTCCAGTCATAAAAACCTTCGACAATACAGTCTTGATAATACTGAACATATATTCACCTGAGCTTCCCACCAGCAAACTGAAGTTGTATAGACCAAGCATAGTTGGACTACTTTAGTTAGGTTATCCCTAAACTCTACTTGAGTTGCAAGGTGGCCTAAGATATGCTACTGCACCATCTTCGACTCAGATAGAAATATATTATTGATCTGTTTTAAATAGAGGAATTGATATGTGGTTTACTGAATGTATAAATGTATACACAGCAAATTAATGCATGGACATAAATGCATACATATGTGTATTACTGTATTTCAGTTCAACTGGTCTGTTCTTAAACAACTAGGTACATTCCAAGTATGTAACTTCTAGACGTTAATGTTGCTTCTCTTTGACCAAAATACAATTTAGACTTCCTAGGTAGGCTAATTTGATAAAAGATTCTGACAATGGCTTCAGACTACAGGAAAGGAGTTTCCACCTGAACATTAGGAAGGACTTCCTGACTGTGAGAGCTGTTCAGAAGTGGAACTCTCTACCCCGAGTGTGGTGGAGGCTTCTTCTTTGGAGGCTTTTAAGCAGAGGCTGGATGGCCATGTTTTGGGGGTGCTTTGAATGTTATTTTCCTGCTTCTTGGTAGGGGATTGAACTGGATGGCCCACAAGGTCTCTTACAACTCTGTGGTTCTATGATTTGTATGTGAAATAATCCTGTCAGTGCCATCTATGTTTATGTTTGTTTTTCTCTGTAGAGAAATCATCTCGTGACTGTGTAGGCAGTACAAGTACAATGAAAACTGTAAAATATGAACACAGCTTGGAAATGAAAGACTCTCTGGGGTAAGTAATTTAGGGTGGGGTATAAAAGGAACCATGTAACTCGTTGGTTCAGGGTCTGCAGAAGGTCCCAATTCCAGGATGTAATGTTTTTGATTGAACCATGTGTGAATGTTACCACATTTTATGGTGTGTTAAGCACATGAATAGAAGTTCATGTTAGTTCTTCTTGTTATGCTGAATCAGTTTGTTGCGCAGTAGCAATGTCCAACATGTCCAGAACCCAATGCCAAAGACACAGACCAATCAGAAGAAATAAAACAGTAGAACTTTACTCTTGGATGCAGAGTTGAAAATAAAACAGTTTGGCACACTTACATAGTCACTATAAGTAATAGAGAATAAATCTTCTGTGTTATAAATCATAGAGCATAACAAAATAAAACATGGTTACTTCACCATAGCATAAGCTTCTTGCATCTGCTCTCCAGCAAATCAAACAGCCAACTGCTAACCGTTTGCAAAAGCCTCAAAAACTGTTACATTCAAAAGGTGTGGCCTAGCCTTGCTTAGCTGAGTTAGTTTTGCAGCTGCAGTTAATCATTAACACTTTGCAAGGCTTTTCTGTTAGGCTTTCTTTAACACACACACACACTGGGCTTACAACAATATACCTTAATACTTCTGTATGGTGATCAGGTGACATTTGCTCCTATAGGTGTCTTGGTCTACGATTTCCTTATAATAGCAAAATAATAGCAAAGGCTTCTGGGAGTTGAAGTCAAAACATCTGGAGAGGTGAAGATGCTCCTTCCTCAGACTGTGTGGCTTGTAAGATTTGTGCCCGCTTCATAGCTGTTCCAACTTCAGCTCAGTTATAAATGATTACAACATGAAATCCATTTGCCTTAGGAGTAACTTTCCACATCCTGCAAGTGGGGTAGAGTGGCCACCTTATTCAAGGTTCACATGCTCCAAACATGAGTGAATTTTGATAGCGTACGACCTTGATGCTAAAGACTCTTCTGATCTTGACAGTATTGATGGAGCTTGAGGAGCTCTTATCCAAAATGCTTGGGACCAGAAGTGTCTTGCATTTTGGATTGTTAAAAGTTTTTGAAATACTTGTACATATATACAACATGGGACTCAAGCCTAAACATATACATTCATTTATGTTTCATTTGTATCTTATAGCCTGAATGTAATTTTACATGCACAATATTTTAAATAATGTTGTGCATGAGATGAAGTTTATGTACACTGAACCATCAAAAAGCAAATGGTGTCACTATCTTGACCACTCATGTGGACAATTTTGGATTTTGGTATATTTTGGAATCCGGATAAGGGATGCTCAACCTATATTTTTCCAACACTGAGATAATTGGGGTTGAATTATTGTTGTTGTTGTTGTTGTTGTTATTTCCAACATTTCTACCCCGCTCTTCTCAACCCCCGAGGAGGGACTCAGAGCAGCTTACACTGGCAGCAATTCGATGCCACAATGTACAAACAGATATAACAAATATAACAGCAATTTAAAACGATATACGTATAAACAGTAAGTTTAAAATAATTTAAACATTAAACATTTTAAAACATTATTATCAACCAATTATCAATCAAAATATAGCCATTTCCTATCCAGTTCGACATCCAAAAGTGCTGTCATGTCTGCTGTCCAAAAGCCTGGCCCCAAAACCATGACTTCAGTTTCTTCCTAAAAGAAAGGAGGGATGAAGCCGACCTGATCTCACTGGGGAGCGAGTTCCACAGACCGGGGGGGGGGGGTCACCACCGAGAAGGCCCTGTCCCTCGTCCCCACCAAACGCATTTGCGTGGCTGGTGGGACCAAGAGCAGGGCCTTCCCAGACAATCTTGGACTACGAGGTGGAACATAGAGGGAGATACATTCGGACAAATAAGCTGGACCAGAACCGTATAGGGCTTTATAGGCCAAGACCAGCACTTTGAATTGTACTCAGAAGTGGCCCGGCAGCCAGTAGAGCTGACATAGCAGGTGGCATGCTCCCTGTATGTCACTCTGGTGAGTAATCTGGCTGCCGCCTGTTGGAGTTTCCGAACAGTTTTTTTTAAAACTTGTTTTTTAAAAAGGAAATACATTCTAGCACTGGCATGGGCAAACTTGGGCCTTTCAGGTGTTTTGGACTTCAACTCCCACAATTCCTAACAGCTGTTAAATAGGCTGTTAAGAATTGTGGGAGTTGGAGGACCCAAGTTTGCTCATGCCTGTTCTAGCAATAATTTTCTACAGATAACAACAGTACAGACCTATTTTTTGGACAATGTAGGATCCTTCAGATACTGTTGGACTTTGAATTGCACCATTCTTTACCACTGGTTATCCTGGCTAACTGTAATGGAAATTGCCATCCAACAATGCCTGGAAGATCAGAAAATTGCCCTTTCCTGCTTTATGAATTGGTTTGAGCTTACTAGTGAAATCACAGAACTCAGAGGAGGAATGAGGTGGCCTCAATGCTTATTTTCTCAACTTGTTGAAGAAGGAATATTTGATGTAGCTGTTTAATTCTGTGGCAGAAATCAGCAGACAAAGGAACCTACTGTTACAATTGATGATGGTGTTGATGAAGACGATGATAAACCACATTCATTAACTTGGTAAGTTGAACTTCTGAATGAATCTGTTAGCTCAATCAAAATCTTACAGTATCTTTCACGGTATTCTAATAACAAACTCAGTCTCCATTTCTAGTCAAAATACCAGCATCAAAAGAAGCAGGTATTGACAGATTTGTTTAGAAGGTTGAGGGCAAATTGAAGGTCTAAAATACTTTTGGAAAAAAAAAAGTGAAAAGAAAGAAAATTACCCTGAAACCTGACTGAGCATGATCAGAATATTTTGGCTGACTGGGAAGAGAAAATGGAACAGAGTATTGTGGAAAAAGGGCTTCTGCATCAACAAGAGTGAAGTTCTGTGAAGTATCACAGGAAAATTCCAATTTAGGGCAACCCTATGTATTCTTGCATGAAAGCATAGAAACTGTGGGAAGCTAGGCTGCTGCATCAGCCCCCTGAAGGTTTTGGAGGGCCACACTACCACTGTATACACACTTAAACACCATTTTTTTTGTAGAAAGGTGGGATACAAATACAATAGTTTCTGACTTTCTAGCCAAATCATGGCATAAATTAATTCCAAAGATTTAGTGTCGTGGAAGAGCGGTGTATAACACTTCATTGTTGTTAGTGACATTCAAGTCTTACAGTTTCCCTCTTCTGGGATTTTCTTGGCAAGATTTATTTAGAGGAGGCTTTCTCTCAGGCTGAGAGAATGTGACTTGTCAAAGATCATCCAGTGGGTTCCATGTCTGAGCAGGGATTTGAGCTTTGCGTTGTCGAAGGCTTTCATGTCCAGAATCACTGGGTTGCTGTGAGTTTTCCAGACTGTATGGCTATGTTCCAGGGGAAAATGCTTCTGGAACATGGCCAGATGGCCCGGAAAACTCATGACAACACAAATTTGAACTCTGATTTCCAGGAATCTTGGTTCGGCGTCCAGACCACCACACCTTTTTAAATCTTTTTGATTGACCAACACTTCACTACCTAGCAATGAGCAATTGGGTGCCCGCTACTGTTTGCAGCCATTCCTAGCTTATCTCTTCCGCATTAATAATTTTTGCCACTTTGACCACATTCTGATGTTGCTTGGCCACCTCATCCTGGTTTTTATTTGTCAAATGTTGGAGAACATGGTGTCCACAATTGCCGGAGCCCCTTTGCACTGGTTTACAGAAAATGCTTCCATTGCTAATAGCTAATAAACTATGTAACACAAAAGTGGAAGATGGTGATACTCAAATTTGTTTTAGCGCTTCAGCTCCTGTCACCCCTCACAATGGATTTTGTACTTTGAATGGGGCCATGGTAGCACAATGGGTTAAACCACTGAGCTGCTGAACTTGCTGACTGAAAGGCTGTCAGTTTGAATCCACAGGATGGCGTGAGCTCTTGCTGTTACCCCCAGTTTCTGCCAACCTAGCAGTTCAAAAACATGCAAATGTGAGTAGATCAATAGGCACCACCTTGGCAGGATGGTAAACGGCACTCCATGCAGTCATGCCGGCCACATGATCTTGGAGGTGCCTACGGACAACACGGGCTCTTAAGCTTAGAAATGGAGATGAGCACCACCCCTCAGAGCCAGAAGGGAAAGCATTTACCTTTATTTATGTTTTGTTGTTTCTGGGCATTGAATATTTGCCATTATGTTTGTGTATGCTGGAATCTGCCCTGAGCCTCCTTGGGGAGATAGGGTGGAAAACAAATAAAGTATTTGTATTATTATTATTATTATTACTTGCTAGGGCTGATAGGAATTATAGGCCAAAAAATCTGGAAGGCCATTGGAATGTAATAGACATACCTCATTTCAGAGCTTAATTAGATAGCCATAAACCACAGTACTTTGGTACACTTATTTATTGATTTACCCAATCTGTTTGTTTGAAGCATTAGCCAAAGTCCTAATAATGATTATTTCTTCACCTCTTTATTTTTTCTCCTTCCCCAGTAAGATTAAGAAAAAGATTTCTCCCTTTGTGATGTCTTTTGGATTCAGGTAAAGAGATTTTATCATATTGTGGAAATTAATAAAGCATAGAGAAGTAATTATAGAACTCATTCATACTTTGCATTGTCCTCATTTCAGAGTTAGGGACAACTAAAGCAAATATGATATATTGATTCTCCACCCATCCACATTCTTCTTCAGGTGTCTTGAGCAGGACTGGTTACTCCTGAGACACGTATAGCATGGGATAATCACTGCTGGTCTGGCTGGAAGACGCTGCCTTGCACAGGACTCTATCAACTCTTTTGTGGTCTTTTTGCTAATATCATATATTTCTACTTGATATATTTTCTAAATGACTATTGGGACAATACACCTATTCAATCAAAACATTTGCATTACAAAATTACTTTGTTGTGCTGTATTGGAACATCAGTTACCATTCCCTTCTGCTGTTTTACACTTGGTCTTTTCTATCAACAGAAAATAAATATTCTGTTAGCATTAGCTGAACTGCATATTAATTCCTGTTTCTAGACTGCTTTCTCTAAACTTGAAGCAATTTGCAGTGCCCTAATATAATCTGATACGAATATCACCCATGAGAAAAATTGTAGAGTCTTACATCACCTTAAGGATTGGCAAGTTTTATTTGCTAAATGCAATATAGAGTTTGAATCCATTCTTGCTAAGAATAAAGGAAAGGCTAAAAGATAGATTTTCAGTAAACACTTTGAGCCCCGTGTGACTGTCTGTGCTTAGAAGTCTATTTTCTGTTAGGCTGTTTTTTGGTTCCTTTTATGGAAGCCATTAAGCACCCCATATGCTGGACTACAACTCCTGGCATCACAAATATTCAGCAGATTGTGTTGTCGAAGGCTTTCATGGCCAGAATCACTGGGTTGCTGTGAGTTTTCTGAGCTGTATGGCCATGTCCCAGAAACATTCTCTCCTGACGTTTTGTCCACATCTATTGGCAGGCATCTTCAGAAATTGTGAAGTATAGGCAAGTGGGGTCTATATATCTGTGGAAGGTCTGGGGTGGGAGAAAGAACTCTTACCTGTTGGAGGCAAGTGTGAATGTTGTAATTAATCTCCTTGATTAGCACTGAAAAGCCTTCCATCTTCAAGGTCTGGCTGCTTCCTGCCTGGTGGAATCTTTTGTTGGGAGCTGATTAGCTGGCCCTAATTGTTTCATGTCCGGAATTCCCCTGTCTTCAGAGTGTTGTTCTTAATTTACTCTCTTGATTTTAGAGGTTTTTTTAAAAAAATACTGGTAGCCAGATTTTGTTCATTTTCTTGGTTTCCTCCTTTCTGTTGATATTGTCCACATGCGTGTGGATTTTAATGGCTTCTCTGTGTAGTCTGTGTATTCAGCAGACTGGTTGGGGGTGACACGAGTTTTGAGATGATATATTTTGAGATGATATATTTGGCATGTTACCACTACGAAACTTAATTTTCTTCTCTTGCTCCCTTTGCCCCTTCTTTTGCAGGCTTTTTGGCGTAGTGCTTATTTTTGTGGACGTTGCACTTGTGGTTGTGTCCCTGTTGGTTGGTGATAGATACGAATCTCTTGAACAAATGATTGGAAACATTTCTCTGGCTATAGCACTCTTCTTCCTCCTGGATGTCAGCCTACGAGTATTTGTTGAGGGGTAAGAGCAGAAATTCCTGTGAAAACATTGCACTGCAGACAGCTTCAAGGAATGAGAGGGAAATTCAAACTTGGTTCTGCAATAGGGGATGATGCAAAAATCCACTGCAAAATATACACTTGTGGTTCTACTGAGGTTAGGAACTTGGGTGAAGAATTTATAATTTTTTCAAAAATAGCCCTTTCCAGCTGTATCTTTTTGTGTTTCAGTTTCAGAAAATACTTCGAATCCAACCTAAACATTGTAGATGCCATCATTATTTTGGGCACACTGTCAGTCAATATTGTATATTCCTCCTCTGATTTGAGTGGCTTAAGCCAAATTCCAAGGTAAAGAGAATATACTTTGGGTTTTTAAAATTCTGTTCCTGTCTGTCAGTAGTTTTCAGTTTACTTCTTTAAATGGAGAACTCGATAGAGGGAGTGCAGTAAGGAAAAAAACAGTAGTTAACCTTGCTTCAAAACGTCTTGATGCTGGAAGGTGTTGTAATGCAGGAACGAGGCTGTCCGTTGTTCTGATGTGCACTTCCAGGTCTCTCAGTCCTGGATTCCCACACTGTTCCCACTCAAGACTATGTATAACATTTACTCTATCCCAGTGTGCTCCCTGACTACAGAAATCAAGTAATTGGAGAAGAAGGCTTTGGATACCAAAGAGTAGTTTTTAAAACTGAGTAAACAAATGAGAGAACAGGTTTGTTGGTACTTGCGACCTTTCCTAGTTTTTGAGCTCCCATTCAACCCACTACTGCAATGTAGACTGTGACAAATTTTGATAGGAATAGTGTAATTGTCAGCAGTAAAATAGTTTCCCACCTTTGCAGTGGAGCCCCCGGTGGCGCAATGGGTTAAACCCTTGTGCCAGCAGGACTGAAGACCGACAGGCTGGAGGTTCGAATCTGGGGAGAGCACAGATGAGCTCCCTCTATGAGCTCCAGCTCCCCATGTGGGGACATGAGAGAAGCCTCCCACAAGGATAGTAAAACATAAAAAAACCACATCTGGGTGTCCCCTGGCCAACGTTCTTGCAGGCTGCCAATACTCTGAGACCAGAAGCGACTTGCAGTTTCTCAAGTCGCTCCTGACCCAAAAAAACCCAAACCTTTGCAGGCCTGCAATGTCTTGTGATTATAGGCCTTTTGACGCTACCTTTCATATGTTTTAGAATTTTGATATTATTAAAATAACTTTTCAAAAACAATACAAACTTTGCTTCTCCTAGTTCTGCTGTTTAGAAGTTTGCACTTCTAAAAATAATGCTTCAGGGTACATGTAAAATGATAGCTTTTCTGTAGATGTGGCAGAATTAAGGGGAAATATGACCTTCACCATAATGCTACAAACATACAAGTTGTGTATTTCATATTTGAAACATTTGGGACCATAGTATTTTGGAATTTGGATTTTTTCAGATTTTGGTTTACCTGTATTTGCGCATGTATATAATCTTGGAGATGAGACCCACGTCTACACATGAAATACATTTTTGTTTCATATTTATCTACTTTATACACGCGACCTGGAGGTAATTTGATACAACATTTTTAATAATTTGGTGTATGAAGCAAAGGCTGTATGTTTAACCATCAGAAAACAATGGTGTCACTATGTCAGTCACTCATGGTGACAATTTCTGATTTTGGAGTATTCTGGAGTTTGGAATTCCAGATAAGGGATATTTAGTTTGTATTTTAAAATACTTGTCTTTTCCTTCTCTTGTAGGTAGTAAGATCTGATTACATTAGGTCATGCAGGTTCATTCTGTTCCAAAACCTGTATTGTTTGCAGGGCCTGCATACTGATACTGGCATGCATAGTGCCCACAGGTTCCCCTTTCATGAAATCCTATTAGGTATTGAATACTTCTGTGGGATAGAAATATGTGTATAGCCTGTGGGGTACATGTTAAATACAAACTCCCATTGTGTTTGATATGATCCTTTTGTATGTCTTGACCAGAACGGTTATTCTATTCCGAATCCTGAGGATTATAATCCTGGTAAGAGTAATTCGACTGGCTCCTGAGAAGGAACGGCTTGAAAAAGTGACACGGAGGATGGTGAGTCATATGGAGCCTCATCAGCCATAATACCACAATGGTGGAGCTTGGTCCTTGCAAATTGGAGAGAATCAAAACATGGCTTTCTTCGTATTGATTCTAGTGTTTGGCCTACTTAATTAGTTTTTAAATTTTTTAAATACAATGAATATTTTAAAAATCTTTTAAATCATTTTGTATATATGTTGTTGTGATTTCTCCTGAGGGACTCTTGTCAGGAAAGAATGAGAGCAATACTGAAACAACATATGGTGGATCCTGGGGATCTGCAAGATCTAGGTCTGGAATTTTCAGTGACTCTGGATCAGGGGTCCTCAAACTAAGGCCCGGGGGCTGGATACGGCCCTCCAAGGTCATTTACCCAGCCCTCACTCATGGTTAACCTAAGTCTGAAATGACTTGAAAGCACACAACAACAATAGTCCTATCTCATCAGCCAAAAGCCGGCCCACACTTCCCATTGAAATACTAATAAGTTTATATTTGTTAAAATTGTTATCCATTTTAATTATTGTATTGTTTTTAAGTGGGTTTTTTTTTGCACTACAAATAAGATATGTGCAGTGTGCATAGGAATTCATTCATGTTTTTTTTTCAAATTATAATCTGGCCCTCCAACAGTTTAAGGGACTGTGACCTGGCCCTCTGTTTAAAAAGTTTGAGGACCCCTGCTCTGGATTGTCATGCAGTGTGAATGTGGACATGCTTAAGTGTGCATGTTCACATCACTGCCATTAAATAATATGGGGTATGTTCATCTATGCCAGTGGTTCTCAACCTGTGGGTCCCCAGATGTTTTGGCCTTCAACTCCCAGAAATCCTAACAGCTGGTAAACTGGCTGGGATTTCTGGGAGTTGAAGGCCAAAACACCTGGGCACCCACAAACTGGGAACCACTGATTGAGAGGTTTTCAGAACTTGAAGCCTTCTCGGTGTGCAGTTTTCAAAGCAGAAAACATGGTTATTACCGTGGAATTCAGTTTCTCTATTCCATTGTCTATATTATGCTAAAAATAACAAAAATGCAAAAACTGATTAGGTTAAACTATGTGAAAATTCTGTCCAGTTATATAAAACCTGGTATATAGCCTTTGATTTAGTCCAAGGTAGTTTCCTTGATTTGTAAGGGTAATCTTTTAAATGGCACCAAAATAGTGTTGTTTTATCTCTTGAAGTGAATGTAGATGTGATCTCCTGGTACATAACCAGCTATGATTTTCTTTTGGATTTATGGCTTAGGGTGGTTGGTTTCCTGGCCCTCCTGTTCCAATTTTCTTGTGTATGTTTTGGCTGGCAGGTCTCAGAAAACAAAAGGCGTTATACAAAAGATGGCTTTGATCTGGACCTCACCTATGTCACTGGTTTGTATCCTTTGGTAAGGGGTGGGGTGACTGATTTGTATAGGCAGTTCCCGAGTTACTAACATCCGACTTACAAACACCTCATAGTTAAGAACAGAGGTGAGAAACAGGAAGTGAGAGAAATCTTCCCCTCAGAAGGGAAATCCACTCCTGAAAGAGTTTTCATGGGGGAAAGCTGTCCCAACTGAAGTTTTATCACCAATCCTTGTTTCCACAACAAACCAGATTTTTCAAAACCCAATTGTCACAGGGACAGAAAGTGGGGTGAAATCTTCAGAACGGGCATAGACAACAAAACAAATGTCACTGGAGTATTAAGCCTTTCCTGTGTTGGTGATGGGAACTTGCAGTATCCAGTCACCCAAGAACTGTGAAAACTGTGTGAATTAACAGTCCCCTTTGCACTACTTCCCTCCTGGCCTGAAAAGCTGGAATGATGTGACACTGCATGTACTTCTAGGTATTGTTTTTCAGTTAGATGTCAATAAACGCAATGGCAAATCTTGCCAAATGTCTCAAGCAGTTAAAATCTAACTACATTCAATAAGACAGTAACGTGCTTAGAGGCACACTATGGAAGCCTCACGTAGCCAAGATCCACTACTATGATACTGCTTTTCTTGTCAATCTGCTGTTCTTGCCAAACTTTGGCCTTCGCTGTTAGTCATATCTTTCCTGTCGTGCAGCTCACCAGAAAGACATTAGTTCTTGATTATTAAGCTAAATGAGTGAACTCAAAGCGTTAATGTCAACATTAGGGACTGCTTCAACGGGGCACATGAGTGTCATGAATCAGTGATGGTCTTGAATAAAAGCTTGAATGCTGGTGGGAAACACTTGTTTCTGTGCTTTGAATTCAAATGCCACATTCCTCCCATTCTCTGGAGGAAAACAGGTGACTAGATATTGGACAAGGTCCCAAGTAGCTAAGAACACATCATTGATACTATTAGGATCATGGGTTGCATGATCAATTCTTTCCTGAGGCCCTGGATGTGTGCATATATTATTTTAATAATTATTAGATGTGCAGATGAACATAGAATCTTAGAGTTGGAAAGGGCCATCGGGGATGTCTAGTTCAATCTTGCCCCATGCATAGATACACAAACTCTAATACTCTTCAATTCAGTACAAAAAGGCAGGTGCACACATCTTGTCAGTAATGTGGGAGATAAGAAATATAGCTATTGATTCTGAATGTGTATCCCTAGTTTCCATGGGAAGGTCCTGAGACCATAGAGTTGGAATGGAGGAATAAAAATGAAACATCAGAAGTGGATATCTGATCGGTGTATTAAGCACAGGATAACAACACCAAAAGTCCTGATGCTTCTCAGCAGCTTTTTAGTTTGGTTGAGTTTCTTCCTATTTAAAAGAGAGGGATATTGAGATGCATGCACAGAGCTTGTGGGTTTCCCTGACATTTCTATTTCAGTGTCTTCAGTTCCTCTTTTTTTTCTTCAAGCACATTACTGATGTGTTGTGCTGTTAATTTTGTGTGTGCAGTAACTGGGGAAAGCAATGCCTTTTAGCAGAGAAATATATCTGGCTCAACATTGAGATTGTCTTGCTTAGTAATTCTTAACTTTAATTGCTGACCTGATTTTCACCCTAGAACCTCCACATTTACATTCAATCACTCATTAATCTAGCCTTTTTAAAAATCACTTCTACCAAACAACTTTCAGATGAGGTACAGACACAAATTGGAGAGCATAACAACCCAGAAGAGTCATGCTTTCAGGCCAGGAAACACCTCTGTATTTAACCTCCAGACCAAGTTAAATCAGCAAAGCAGTTCATTAAAAATTATATAAAAAGCACTGCAGCAAAAATAGTAAAAACTTAAACGTCTGTACATATAAAATAGTCCAAAAAATCCAAAACAATAATTCAAACTTGGAAGCATGAAACAGGAGCAAAGACATGGAAGTAGAATTCCCTCAGAAAGCTTGACTAGGGCTTGGCAAGAGCTGTTGCCTCAATTATCAACGTTGACCAGACTGGCTGGAAAATCCCCCCCGGGCTCTCTAATATACACATGAAATCATGCCTTCTTCCATGACTCCATGATACAAGTCTCTTCTCTAACAAGCACTGTGACCTTGTTAGAGATTCTGTTGAGTAGCATGAAGTTTACAAAAACTGAGTCTCCTATCAACCAGCTCATTATCTTGCAACTCATTCTCTCCACCTGGGATTTCAGCCTCTGAACTTGTTTCCCTAAAGAATGACTCTTCTGCACCATCTCGGCACCTCTCTGGAATGTGACCTTCACTAACTGCTGGAGACACAGACTGATCATTTTCAGGACTTAAAATTTCATGTTGGCTTTCAGACCCAGAGTTCTCATGATCCACTTCCCCATTTACATTGGTATCAGCCACAACCATGGGCTGAACTGCAACGCTTATATATGAGAGTGTGAATGCAAAAGCCAAATCTCAGAGTGGCACATGATCTAGGGATCATGTGGAATAGGAGTGGAATAGGAGCAAGAAGGAGCTTTAAACTTCGAAAGCTCACTTTACTATGCCCACTGCTTCTACCAAAGCAAAATCTAAATTGTTAGGTTAATTAACATATTTACCCTTGCCACGCAATGAATATCAATATATAATTACATTTTTATTTTCTCTAAGGCGGAAAAAGTCCAGCCCTTCAGATACTGTGGAGCTGTGAACCTCAACAGCCCTATCCAATGGGAAACAATCCTGGGAGTTACAATATGGGAGGGCTGCTTGATTCTCGCCCCTAGTTTAAGGAGATTGGGGTAATTCTCCTATACCATTCCTATAACAATCCCATTAGATAGTTTTGACTTGGGATACAACTACACTGTAAAATTACTGCAGTTGATATCACATTAACTGCCTTGGCTCAGTGTTATGGAATCGGGTTAGTAGTTTGGTAGGGCACCAGCACTCTTTGGCAAAAAAAAGGCTAAAAGCCTTGTACACTTCAATCTCTATTCCACAGCACTGAGCCATGGTGGGTCTAGTGTGTCAACCTACATTAAATTACAGTGTAAATGTACCCTAAGAATACTGAAGTGCCCAAGTAATGTTAGTTGTATGCAGCCATGGAACTCAACTGGAACCTGGTTTTCCTTTACCAAAACTATACATATCATTCACTACCTCACACTTCCTGCTGGCACTGCTATAATCTAAAATAGAGTCCAAAAGGGGGTAGATACAAGCCAGTTAGATTTCCTTCTTATAAGGGATGCTGAATGGTAGTTGGAAGTCTGGATGCTCTAGAACTCGATTCCAGTTGTAGTTTGATTAGGTCCATGATCGCAGGTGGACGCTGAAAATATTTTTTTTCCTTCTCATATACTTAAAAATTCTACTTGGGTTGTTGTAATTGACTTTCTGAGCTTTGCATAAACTTCACTGTTTTCAGTTATGTTACACTTGTCACAACTTTTTGCATTTTTCGCAGCCCGTATTATAGCAATGTCATTTCCATCTTCTGGACAGCAAGCTTTCTATAGGAATCCTATCAAGGTAATTTGAAATCAGAAAGACTGTGCAAATAGCGTGTGGTATTTTTCTGGCTCTTTATCAGTCCATTCTCTTTCCTCCCCTATCCCACTCTTAATAGTTGCTGGTTTTATTTTAATTAGTACTAGTAAAGTGATGGTTAGCAATAGAATTACTGCTACAGTTCTTGTATGAATCTGTGACTAGTCTTAAGTCCTTAACCATACGTCTTCATTGTGTTTCATTTTTTTAACATTTACTCAGCTGTGTTTGACTCCCAGACAAAGAAAAAATAAATGTTCAGGTAGCCAATTTAAAGAATTAAGATGCTAATCAATGAATGTTTCAGTGATATTAAGGAGAATTAAAGATTGACATAGAATACTTTCTTTAAATGTGAAATCAGTAGCGCTAATGCTTCCAGCCTTCTTTAGTATTGCAAATCCTTTGAACATCTCACTTTGGTGTTTGTAGGAAGTTGCAAAGTTCTTGGATACAAAACATGAAGGCCACTACAAAGTCTACAACCTTTGTAGTAAGTATTCATTGTATCTTTTAGCTGTCTGTCATCAATACGGATGTTCTTTGTTAATTAGATTGGACTTTTTATATCTGACCAAGTAATCTAAGTCCACTCAAATTCCTTCCATTCTCTGCTGCATGTTCGATGCTTAGTTATTGTTTCACCTTAGCACTTTAAGGAACTGATATTAATTACAGTTTATTTTATATCTGCAGCTATTGCTGCATTTTATTGAATTTTAACTAGTAGGGTTTTATGATACTATTTGTTATTGCTATTGTGCTATTGTTTATACACTTGGTGTATTTTGTATGTTAGCACTCCAAATGCTTTTGTGAGCCTTCCCGAGTCCTTTCGGGGAGATGGTGTCAGGGTATACATAAAGTTGTTGTTGTTGTTATTATTATTATTATTATTATTATTATTATTATTATTATTATTAAATGAAGTGCTTATTAGACCACCTCCAAATTGTTTTAAATTAGGCTTTACTTAATGTTCAACTGAATTCTTCATGCCAGGCCGCACACTTTGAAACCACACTTTGGCTACACAAGGCAGTCCTAAAGATACATTTTTTTTTAATTTTTTGCTTTTGCATGTACAACTCCACATAGATCAATTGGTCAAAATGTCTGAGCAAAACTAGCACTACTCTGTCTTCCCATAGCAGCTTTCGGTGTCTTTAATTAATATTTCTATGCTTTGCTCCCTGCAGGTGAACAGGGCTATGACCCCAAGTATTTCCATTACAGGGTGGAAAGAATGTTCATTGATGACCACAATGTCCCTACTCTAGAGTAAGTGCCATGCCAAGATGGTGCTATGGGTATTTTACAAAAGGCAGGCCTGTGAATTTCAACAGGCTTATTTGGAAGTGTCTTTATTATGTGAGAAATTATTTCACATTGACCTTAAATAGCATGTTTTCAGCAGCCCTGTTTTGGAGTTCATTATTTACATCTGTGGCGAGGATACCTATCTGCCTAATATCTATCTGATGGGGAGCATGAAAGGTTGAATTTCATTTAAGTGCTTCCTGTAAGAAGGAATACTAGTTGTGGGGAGGAATGTAAGCACATTTAGCCACACATTGTTGTCATGAAGGAAGCTTGGAGTAGCCGTTACGTGACACCCACCTCCACCCTATGACATAATTTAATGGATTTTTGCATAGGGGTCTAATGCAGCATTTCTCAACCTGGGGATCAGGATCTCTGGGCGGTGTCAAGGGGGTTTCAGAGGGGTCGCCAAAGACCATCAGAAAGCACATTTTTCTCATAGTCTTAGGAACCCAAAGGGGTTCTATCAAAGGATAGAGAAGGCTGAAGATCTCTCAGCCTATCCTTCTCTTCCTTTTTGGAAACTAGATGGCAAATCCTCCCACCAAAAGCCCTCCTCTGCTGTGATTGGCTGGCCTCTTAGCCAAGGGGAGGGCTGTTTCTGTCTCAAAGTGGAGAGGTGAGATCAGGCATGCTTGGCTCATGGCAGCATGATGTGCACGTGCATGCAAGGGAGAACGTGTGAGGCATGGGAGTTCAATGTGGGAAGTTAGGCCAATTCTATTGTTGGTGGGGTTCAGAATTTTCTTTGATTGTAGGTGAACTATAAATCTCAGCAACTACAACTCCCAAATGTCAAGGTCTATTTTTCCCAAACTCCATCAGTGTTCACATTTGGACATATTGAAGATTCGTTCCAAGTTTGGTCCAGATCCATCATTATTTGAGTCCACAGTACTCTCTGGATGTGAGTGAACTACATCTCCAAAACTCAAGGTCAATGCCCACCAAACCCTTTCAGTATTTTCTGTTGGTTGTGGGAGTTCTGTGTGCTAAGTTTGGTTTAATTCGATCATTGGTGGAATTCAGAATGCTGCTTGATTGTAGGTTAACTATAAATCCCAGCAACTACTACTCCCAAATGACAAAATCAACCCCCCACCCCCCAGTATTCAAATTTGGGCGTATTGGATATTTGTGCCAAATTTGATATAGTGAATGAAAATACATCCTGCATATCAGACATTTACATTATGATTCATAACAGTAGCAAAATTACAGTTATGAAATAGCAACGAAAATAATATTATAGTTGGGGGTCACCACAACATGAGGAACTGTATTAAGGTATCGTGACATTAGGAAGGTTGAAAAACTCTGGTTTAACGTCATATTAATAACATTGAAATAGATAACTCAGAGCTACATGAACTCTAATAATAATAATACTCTTTATTTATATTCCGCTCTATCTCCCTGAGGGGATTCGGGGTGGATTAGAGTATGTACATATATAGGCAAACATTCAGTGCCTTTTATACAGTGAATAATGACATAGAATACACAGACTAAGGCAAGGGTTTCCCTTTCCATCTCTGGCGTCTGGAGGCGATGTTCAGCTCTGGCCATGGGGAGGTGCTCTTGTTCCATTTTCCATGCTGAGGAGCCTGTTATGGCTGCAGGGCACCTTTTGCCTTCCAGCCGAGGCAGTACCTATTGATCTATTTCCATTACATGTTTTCGGATTGCTAGTTAGACAGAAGCTATGGCTGACAGCAGGAGCTCACTCTGACTCGTGGCTTCAAACTGCCAATCTTCCAGTCAGCAAGTTTTTTCTGCAGCTGTTTAACCCGTTGAGCTAGCGCAGCCCCTCTAATATTACTGCTCTGATCCAGAAGAAACTGTTTTCTTAGAAAACTATACTGGAAGAATTGTTCAGCAAAGTATTCCTCTTTTTTACTTAAGGGACATGCTTAAGTTTACTGCTAGTGTCCGGAAATGGATGGAACAGGACGAGAACAATGTCATAGCGATACACTGCAAAGGAGGAAAGGGTAAGCAATTACTTTTCTAATGGATACATTGAGTCAAAACTGAATAATTTGAACTGGCCTGGGTATCATTTTGTAACTTAGTTCACCTCTACATTTGCTCATCTTAATTAAAAAAAATATCCTACCATATTTGGTTCGCTTTGAATGCTCCCTAATTTCAGATATTAAATTATCACTTTTACTTCTCTGAAGGAGGATTTTGAGGCAGAGAAACAAAACATTGTCAGTGAATTATTGGAAAATAAAACTTGGTAGCATTTTTTCTTATCTCAGACAAGTGTCCCTAGGTAACTTTACTTGCATCCTGTTATGTGTGCTAATGCTTTAAAAGATAGCATTTGAATTCAAGAAACTGAAATCATTTTACCTTTCAGTCATTTTAGATTAAGGATCTCCATGACTGCTTATAGCCGGACCTCTGCCTCAACCTCAATTCCAGAAAAGGAGTTCAAATTGTCATTAATTTTCTCAGCAGAACCTGGTCACAAAACATTACCTAGAATTTGTGAAGCTTTCCATAAAATGTATTGTCGAAGGCTTTCCATAAAATGCTTGATGTGATTATGAGCATGTCAGTTTGTGAAGTTGATTTTCTGGAAGGTAAAGAGTCACCGAAAGTTCTCAAGTACCCACAAGTGTTCCAATTTTCTATAAGGAGGATACTGGATTATGTGATTCTAATGTTTTCAATGTTGAAATATTTTCGTGGGTGTTTTAATATATATGTTTTTATTTGCTGGACATGTAATGTATGTATTGTATGGCATCGGATTGTGCCTTTATATGCACTGCTCTGAGTTCCTTCAGGGTTAAGAAGAGCAGGAGATAAATATGGCAAATAATAAATAAATAATGATACTGCTGCAAAGCTATTTATGACATAACTGCAATGCAAAATGGATGTAAAATATGCCCTGAGCCAGATTTAGGTGGTACCTGAAAGCAGTGCAAGTTATGAAGTACAGATGATGTGGTTTGGGATGAAGCAGCAACATTTTTGTTGCCAGTGATTTATTATATATATCATCATGAGAGCCAAGCCTACAAAGGCACTCATTAATGATACAGAAATAAATAAACTGGCATGCTCTCTGAAGCTCTCAAACAAGTAGTCCCACACAATGCTGTACAACAGCTTGTCTTTTGTAAAGGGAAAAAAGGATTTGATTCTTTATTTTTCTGAAAATGAAAAAGAAAATCAGTTCTCCTAAATTAAGAGATTCCCAATCATTAAAGTACTTGGGCTGCAAGGGGAAATACCCTCTGGCGTAAGATCCCTAAAAATGGTAATTAGTGGATGCAAGAATCTATGAGGGAGTTCAGCAGTCAGCAGTCAGATTGGGTGAGGATTGAGAGTGGCATTTTGCAATGTCCAGCGAGTTTGGATGAAAGGTAAGTTGTAGGCAGGATCAGATATGTTTCAGAGTTGAAGGGAGGCATGGGAAGTAATATGATCTAGTGCAAGTGGTCATATTCTTGAGACATTGCTGGTTTTATTTTTTGATGCAGGTCGGACAGGAACAATGATTTGCATCTGGCTTATTGACAGCGACCAGTTTAATAGTGCCGAGGTACAGAAAGAAAGGGTGGTGATCTCTTCGGCTTGATTCCGATCTAACTGAAACACTTAAATTCCAAACTGTGTAAATCAGTCCCTTTTTGAAGGAAGGGGGCTCGTAAGCACATCAGCTCTTGCCAGCATGCTCCAGAGTTGGAATGGAGAGGTGTAGTCTTTATATGTGCTGGCATTATAGAGTGGCTCTGATTTTGTCTGTGATTCAGTGATGCTGAATATTGTCCTTAGGTTTGACTTGGCCAGGTACTACATGTGATAGAATCAGATATAAGTACAATGAATACATCCCCATTAAACAAAGATACTGTATATCAATTGCTAACACTTCTGTTGATTCACTAATCTAAAACCTACATGGCAGATGTATCTCAAAACTGGCACTCCCACTCCACTTGTGCAAGGGGAGTTTTTGGACCCATCTGCTGTGTAGGCTTCAGATTATTGGGGACACTTGGACTATGTGGGAAATAGAGTAGAGGGCTGCAAAAAAGAGGGAAATTATAATATGCTTGTGTCCATGCCTCTCCTACACATACAAGGGGTTGGGGGAGCATCTAGACACTTCCCATCTGTTAGGGAAAACTATCCTAAAATATAGCAGATCATCCAAAAATCAAACAGGATACAAAAAGTTGAGCATTCGGCTCATAAGCGAGTAGAGTGTGAAGTGCTTTGTGATGTGGCTGTAAAGAATTAAGAGCTTAGGCAGCAAAGATGCAGAGTGCAATCTTTACAAAAAATCACAAAAGATTTATTTACAACTAGCCGTTCCCTGCCACTCGTTGCTGTGGCCCACTCTGGTGGTCATGGGGGTTCTGTGTGGGAGGTTTGGCCCAATTCTATCGTTGGTCGGGTTCAGAATGCTCTGTGATTGTAGGTGAACTACAAATCCCAGCAACTACAACTCCCAAACGTCAAGATTCTATTTTCCCAAAACTCCACCAGTGTTCACATTTGGACATATGGAATATTCGTGTAGAGTTTGGTTCAGATCCATCATTGTTTGAGTCCACAGTGATCTCTGGATGTAGGTGAACTACAATTCCAAAACCAAAGGACACTGCCCACCAAACCCAGTATTTTCTGTTGGTCATGGGAGAACTGTGTGCCATGTTTGGTTCAATTCCATCGTTGGTGGGGTTCAGAATCCTCTTTGATTGTAGGTGAACTATAAATCCCAGCAATTAAAACTCCCAAATGACAAAAGCATTTTTTGAGTGAAGTACATACATTGGGTTGTTAGGTGTCTTGTGTTCAAATTTGGTGTCAATTCATCCAGTGGTTTCTGAGTTCTGTTAATCCCACAAACGAACATTACATTTTTATTTATATAGATAAAGAACTAACTACATTTCATCATGGCAAGAACTGGATCTGAACTACTCTAACACCCATCTCTTCTAGGGTTTCAAGAGAGGGATAAATCATTCAAGCACTACATCTCCCTGACACACAAGCAGAGAGAGATCTCAAAGCACACAGCACTTACTCAGATGTAAGAAACAGAAGTCAAAGTAAAGGCTAGCAGTAGAAAAGTATCCAGTCTACACAACCAATCAGAATGAGAGCAGAAACAGAGAGGAGAGAAGAAATTAGATCCCCTATGTTTCATTCATGAAACATAGGGGAAGGGAAACCTTAGTACAGGCATCCTCAAGCTGCGGCCCTCCGGCTGTTTGGGCCTCTAACTCCAGAAGCCCTAATGAGCTTGTTCAATTGTCAGAAATTCTGGGAGTTGAAGGCCAAAACAGCTGGAGGTCCGCAGTTTGAGGATGCCTGCCTTAGTATATATACTAAACCAACTAAATTATTCCTCATTGAGGACTTGAGACTTGGGCAGTGTGGGGTGGAATTCCAGCACCATCCACAAATAGCTTCAATAGCTTCAAAAGACTTTCAATTCTGACCGTTGGATAAAACTGTGTCTATGAATTGGAATTTATAAGGAGGAAATGAGTTCTTTTGTATTAGGAGCAAGATTCCCATGGCTTTGGCCCTGTATGGAAGATCCGTATTTGGAGCAGGGTTTATGTTTTAACAATGGCATTTCCCAAGCTCCTCCTCCATTCTACCATGACCTTGAAAATCTGCTCTTGTGAAACTCATAGAAAGGGTACGGGATGTTGTAAATGGCTACCTGACTCCAAAGGAAAGACAATTGGCTTAAATCTCTTTTTTGCTTACATGAAGACACTTTTGGATGAGGACACAGTATCTGGGGCCCTCTATTGTGGATACATAGCAAAAAAAAACTTTGTATGGATTGTGTTAAGCAATTATTCTATTGAATGTAAACATTGCATACCTGAATGCACATATCCCCCTAGATGTACAATAGCACCACATATATTGATCCATTTTTATACCCTTGAACTAAATACATGTACATTAGGCATTGGATAGGGAAGCCCATTTGCTTCCATAGAGGAACATACACCTATCTAAAGACGCTGCCAGGATTCTGGTGAATCTGTTGCTTTAATGCCACAGTATCACAACTCTCTTCTGTTTTTAGGACAGTTTGAACTACTTTGGTGAGAGGAGAACGGATACAAGCACTAGTTCCAAGTTCCAAGGCGTTGAAACTCCATCCCAGGTAAACATCTAAATTGAAGTGCTGCTTAAGACATTACAGGCAGTTATATGGCATGGCATTAATGTAATAAATTGATGATCCAAACTCACGGTACTTCATTGTGCCAGACTTCCTTTCCCTCTCCTTGGATTTCTGGATGGTATCAAAGCTACTTCCAGTTCAGTGAATGATTGAAATTTGGTCACCTGTTGGCCACATGTATCCCTTTGGGGTTCAGTGTAGCTCTTAGGATTTTCTGAATTCATTCAGCCCTGAATGTTAAAAATTTGGCCCAAAAGATACATTGAATTGCTAAACAAAATCTTTGCAAGACTGTTAAATGTTATCTTGGAGTGCTCCTTGCCCCAAACAGACCCCCTCCCCATATACAGTGGCCCTAAATGAATCTGGAAGTGATGTGTCACCTGATAGTCCAAAATGATAGCTCTGGCAATGAGCTATGGCACTGGTTCTCAACTTGTGGGTCCCCAGATGTTTTGGCCTTCAATTCCCAGAAATCCTAGCAGCTGACAAACTGGCTGGGATTTCTGGGAGTTGTAGGTCAAAACACCTGGGGACCCACAGGTTGAGAACCAGTGAGCTATGGCCTTCTGAACCTTTGGAGGATGAGAAAGTGGGGGTGGCGGGACCCCAGGCCCCTGGACTCTGGAGCATTCCCAGCACTGCATTACAGGCTGGAGGAACAGCGAACCGTGACTCTTGGGTTATGGCATGTTTGTGTAAAGCTTAGGCAGTGATGGGTTTTCAGGCCCTTATTCTTTTGTAGCTAAAGAGTGGCAAAAAAAAAAAAAAAACCTCTCCTGTTTTCAGGATTATCTTATTGGTTTGATTTACCTTGGGACCTGTACCCTTTTAGAGAGTCTGAGTCCCAAGAGAGAGTGAGAGTTATATTAAAAAATTGTAGTAACTTTATAACTTTATAAAAAAAATATAAAACATGCTTAACATTTTGTTTTTAGAGTAGATACGTTGGATATTATGTCACTATGAAATTTGTGTACAACTTGAACCTCCCTCCTGTGAGACCACTGCACATCAGAAGCATAAAACTCTACGCTATCCATGGTAAGAGTCACAGAAACTGTGTGTATGCATATGTATGCATTTTTAGATCTATGTTAACAAAATGAATTTCATAGGGTTTTCTTAGACAAGAAATATTTCTTAGACAAGGATTTACGCTATGCGATTTGCCAGTTCCTTCCTCTGAAATGCAACCTACAGTAGCCGGCATTTGTTTGTAGTCTCCCATCTAGCTAACCAGAGCTGACACTGCTTAGCTTTCAAGATCAGATGGCTTCTGGTGCCTTTAGTATATTTAGGCCTTTTCTGTAGAAACTACTCTGAGATTTATCAAATTGAAAGCAAGCTGCTTGTAGACCTGAATTCCAGGATTTCATGCAAGTGATTATCTTGCCCATCTTGTTCATTTCTTTAGATGTTGGAAAAGGTAATGGGACTGATTTGAGAGTGAAGGTAATCATGGAAAAACGAGTGGTTTTTCTTTGCATTGGTGCCAACCAAGAGAACTGCAAGGTAAGAAGCGCCTGAGTTAATCCAAAGAGCCAGTGGTCTCGAAGACCTTGGATTGTCTTCCTAGTCACTAAATGCATTTCTGGATTTTAAAAAATGTGGTTTGGGGAAGGGAGGCTTACTGGAAACAACACAAAGCCAAGAGATAATAGATTTTTTAAAAATGCCTTGTTTTGTTGTAGTTTGGCACATGATTGTGCCTGCTCCTAATGCCAATGAGGAAGTGAATCATGGGATTTCTGGGCCTGCTGAGCCTGCGAGCCAGCATGAGATTTTATGTCCCGAAATTGAGTGCTCTGTGTCTCCTGCAGTTAGTGAAAGCGAAGGCCACATTCCAGAGAAGGGCCCAGAAAAGTCTTTCTCTAGGGAAGCTAGTTCAGAAGATGAAATGCCAGATGGAGAGGTTAATGAGCTGATAGATCGAAGGCTTGGTTTCCGCAAACTCCAAGCTGCTTCACAGACTCGGCGAAGGTCACAGCACTTGTTAGAGAGAAAGCCATTATCAGATAGTCAGGGAAGACAGAATGCTTTCATGGCTTTATTGGAGAGAGGGATTTTCCAGCAGTCTGGTCAGCATTGGTGATTGAGGATACATCTCTTGCCAAGTCAAGCCTACTAAGGGATTTCTAGTTCTATGTTTCCGTTTGCTCTTGTTTCATTCTTCGAAGTTTGAAGGATTGTTCCTGTATCTCGTGTATTGGATTTATGCTACATTGTGTATCTTGCTTCCTTTGTATTCCTGGTTTTTTATACCACTTTTGTACCATGAAACTTGTCGACTATTTCATACCTTTGGACTTTGACATTTTTACTATTTTTGCTGAACTGGTTTTTATATAAACTTCAGTAAACGGCTTTGCTGATTTAACTTGGACAGGAGTGAGGTGGTTGAGTACAGAGGTGCCTCCTGTCCTGGGATACAACATATTTAGCCATTAAAATGCCTGCATTTTTAAAAGAAAAGTTTAACTCCTTCATGGAGCAAACAAAGTAGTTAGAATGGACAAAGAAGTAAGAGGAAGAGAGGGTGTTTATTCCACTTTTGTCCATCCACAAGTAGTAAGAAATCACTGAGAATATTTAGTACAGAATTCTGTAATACTCCAAAATGCATGCTGAATGTCATACAGCACAAGGAAACCCTTTCCTGAAAAGTAATAAAAATTTTAAAACATGGCTAGAAGACTCAGCCATTGCAAATAGCAAGCGAAACATGGGATGCAAGTGCTGTGTTAATTTTCCATCACTGCAGGATTCTTTTTGAACTGTACATGTGAGCCTTATTCCTGCAAGTAGTAATAGATTAACAGGAAATTGTTAGACAGGAGGAATTTAATGGGGACAAAGGAATGCTGGTAACCTGAGAGAAATACATTTCCAAAGAGTGGATTAATTTGGGTGACTGGCTGCATTCACAGCACGACCAATCATTGCCTAGGTTTCCACCAGAGATGGCCATTAATGCTGCATATAAATTACTGTAATTCCTTCCAAAGATAACTTCAGGAGCCTGTGGCATGACTCTTCATCCCCTGTCCTCCTCCTTGTGTGAAATTAGGTAACACTACTGATGTATGCATCTGGGAAAGACATCTGAAGCACATATATACTTCATAGGGTGGGATGATATTATTGGAAACCTATATAATTTGTTTAAGTAGAGGGAATATCAGACCCTCCTCTGGAAAAATGCTCAGAATCACAATTTTTTTTGGTCGTGTCAGGAGTGACTTGAGAAACTGCAAGTCGCTTCTGGTGTGAAAGAATTGGCCGTCTGCAAGGACGTTGCTCAGGGGATGCCCAGATGTTTTTATGTGTTACCATCCTTGTGGGAAGCTGCTCTCATGTTCCTGCATGAGGAGCTGGAGCTGATAGAGGGAGCTCATCTGTGATCTCCCCGGATTCGAACCTGTGACCTGTCGGTCTTCAGTCCTGCTGGCACAGGGGATTAACCCACTGTGCCACCGGAGAATCACAATTATTTCAGTCAAGAGAAAGGGCAGGACAGTGGTGAGGGCAAAGCAGGTGGTGTTTGCTGGTTGTGTTTGTCATGGGCATCACAAGAAGACTAAGATGTCCTTCTGCTTCTTTGCAGCTGTTCTTTGATGGTGAAAATGACTGGGTGGTGATTGCCTTCAAAAACTGTCCTGTTGTTAGCAAGGATGTCAAAATCAAATTTGAATCTTCTTCTGTAAGTAAAGAGCTTTGTAGTTGTGTCCATGTATCCAGTGACAATATGCTAACTCTTACCTAAAACAAAAGGTTGATTGATTACTCCTTGTTGGGCTTGCAAGAGCAGAAACCTTTGGTACAGGAATCTTACAGTCTATGAGATTTGTATTTTTTTAAAAATTCAAACTTCTCTAAACATTCAACTCCATAATTTATAGGAAATGAATTTATTGTTATGTGTCCTCAATTCATTTCTGACTTATTGTGACCTTGAGGTGAACCTATAATGGAATATTCTTAGCAAGATTCCTTCGGAAAGCCAAGCCTTTGCATTCTCTGAGGAAAGGTGACTTGCCCATGGTCACCAAGTAGATGTCATGACCAGGGGCCCTTCCACGCAACCATAAACCCCAGAATATCAAGGCAGAAAATCCCATGATATCTGCTTTGAACTGGGTTATCTGAGTCAACACTGCCATATATTCCAGTTCAAAGGAAATATTGTGGGGTTTTATTCAGCCGTGTAGGCCCAAGTGTAGATTAAAACTCTGGTTTAAGTCCAAAAACTCAAACAACTACACCATTGGCTCTGTCATTGTGGGAGCATCAGTCAAATAGTTGTATTCCTATTTTATTACATAGAGAGGATTGAAGGTTTTCACAGTTTTGAAGAAATATTAGAGTGAAGAGTTTATGAAACTAGCTTGATGTAGAAAAGCTACTCCTTTCTCAGTAAATTGTATTGAGGAGAGTGTGAAATGAAAACACAAAAAAATCCTTAGGCACCATAAAACTACCAAATTTATTTTAACACCAGCTTTTCTAAACAACGGCCCACTTCCCCTGATAGTTGGCACATCCATCATATGCATAAATAGTATACTGCAGATTGGAGATCAGGGGTTTGTAGCATGAGGCCCTCAGTTAATTGCTGGACTGCAACTACCCTATCTGTCGGGGATACGTTCCTGGACTTGATGTAGATATGTAAAACTGCGGATAATAGTGAACCTTTTTGAAATGAAGGACTTCTGGCCCCAGAATACCATAGAGTAGAGCTTTCCAAACATTTCATTTTGGTGACGCTCTTTTTGGACATTCATCATTTCACAACACAGTAATTCAGTTTTATTAGCAACAGAACACTAAACCATTCCCTTATAAGAGATATAGGCACATGCATAAATTGTAATAATGAACTATATGGGGGTACAACGTATCTCATGAAAGCCTTTAATTTATATTTTGAAAAATATATCATTCGTAAGGTCATAACATACATTTCCAATATTTTGTCATTTATGAGTAACAATATGTTACTAATACCAATTGGTACCTTTGCTGCGTAAATATCCTTGCAAGTTGGTATTATTTATTTCACATAGATTTAGAGGTTTCTCTTTACATTCATGCACAAACCTACACACTGCAGCCGACACACTAAAATGTTGTGACACACAGTTTGCAAAGCTCTGCTATAGAGAACCTAGAAAATGTTTAGAAATCTAGTCAGATGTGAATAAATGAAATTGCAGGTACCAGTCCCAACAATATGGAGGTTGTCCTGTAAGCACTAGCTATGATAGGTGATGTGGATGGATTATGGTTTGTTGTAGTCCAGCTACATCTGGAGGATTGTGCTGTCTCCAGCTATACTGTAGACCAGTGTCTCAAACACTGCTGCTTGAGATGTTTTGAACTTCAGCTCCCACAATTCCTAGCAGTTGTTTTTTTTTTCATGTCAGGAGTGACTTGAGAAACTGCAAGTCGCTTCGGGTGTGAGAGAATTGGCAGTCTGCAAGGACGTTGCCCAGGGGACGCCTGGATGTTTTGATGTTTTACCATCATCATCTCATGTCCCCGCATGGGGAGCTGGAGCTGACAAAGGGAGCTCTCTCTCTCTCCCTGGATTCCCTAACAGCTGGTAAGCTGGCTGTATACCGGTAGGCTGTTAGGAATTGTTGGAGTTGAAGTCCAAAACATCCGGAGGGCTGAAGTTTGCCCATGCCTACTGTAAACAGCGAGGTCTAAGTGAAAATTATATCAAACGTACTGGCAATGGCAGCTACAGTATTGACATTATCGTTAATGTTTTGATTACATTTGGACTTCCTTCACTTTCTACAATTCCATCAGCAACCATGTATCCTGCATTCATGCCTGTAGCTACAAGTAAAGTGTCACAAGAGTCATTTGATTCAGCAAACTAGTCTGCCCCCCTGGAGATTGATAGAGTGTGGCAAACTCCCTTAAACTGTAGAGCCAGTACAGAGTTGCAGCTCCAATGCTAAGCTGTGAATGCAGTCATTGCTGGTTTCAGCCTTGCTGATCCCGTATACTAGATTAAAAGGCCTTAGGCAAACTATACGGTTTCTCAAACCCTGCCCAACTAATGACTGCATTCCAAGGGATAATTCTGATGTGTCTTTCAGAATCACCTTGAGTTTCAGTTCTGGGAGAAAATTAGAATACAAAAATCAGTGTGACCCCTCCAAATGTAATACAGTCTCTTATTTCTTATCCCTGAAAGCCAGGCAGTTGTCATTTTTTCTTTTTGCTTTATATTATAATAAGTTGCATTATACCTACCTAACATGGTTGATGTTTCTGGTTGTGTTTTTATTTTTTTTCTAAACTCAGCCCAGCTCTCATGCATATCTCATGGGAGGTTTGCTTCTGAGTACTTCCTCTGGTCCCTAAAAAGTGACCTTTTGGCTTGCATTTTGCTATGGGAAAATATATTTTGTTCCAAAACTCAGTTTTCAGGACCAGCCCCATCCCATCCCAGAAGAAAATAATGCCATGTTTTGCAGGAAAAGGGAATATTTGGATGCTCATCTCTTTGGGGAGAAAAATCATTCAGTTGTTATTTTCAAGAATCAACTACAATATGATCGCAGTATCTACAGAACCAGTATCTGTGGTTTCATTTTTCCACAAAATACAATATATGCTCTCTAGACATTTTCATTTCAATAGAGTTAACGCTTTTGTGTATCCACGAGAAGTCCAGAAATTTATCCTCTGCAAATATAGGCCTCATATCATACGAACAGTGTGTTATTATGTCTTGTATTACATCCAAGCTTTGAAATAAAGAAAATGCAAGCTAGGTAGCAGGTGTGAAGAGCTTTAGAAACTGCATGGAAGTTAAAAGAGATGATTTCCTTGTTGACATGCAGGATATTCCAAAAGGTTACGATGACTGTGTTTTCTTCTTCTGGTTCAACACCTCCTTCATTGAAAACAACAGGTAAGTTGTAATTTTTTGATAGCATAGGCCTGGAGTGGAAAGCTAACTTTGTACTTGGCTTGAGGAGAGCTAGTGTATGAGAGATTTGACCTTCATGAATGGCTGGCTCAAGCCAAGCCTTTAGGATTAAGAGGCAAGTGTTTCTTTCTTATAATGGAGGGCATGCTTCTCTATGGGTAAACAAACTATAACTGCTCTTCCATAGCTCCAAGAGAGTGGGGCATGACATCTATCCAGACCTTTTAAGAAATCCAGGCTAAGAAATGCTTCCTCTGCCTTGAGAAGTGAAGGGATGAGCCTAGCTTTCTGCTGTTTGTCCTTTTGTATTCAGGATGGATCCAACTTCTTTGGCTCAAACTGTTGGAGGGCCGGATTATAATTTGAAAAAATTCCTATGCACACTGCACATATTTTATTTGTAGTGCAAAAAACACTAACAATTTTAACAAATATAAATTTATTAGTATTTCAATGGGAAGTGTGGGCCTGCTTTTGGCTGATGAGATAGGATTGTTGTTGTTGTCTGCTTTCAAGTAGTTTCAGACTTATGTTGACCCTGAGTGAGGGCCGGGTAAATGACCTTGGAGGGCCATATCCACCCCCCGGGCCTTAGTTTGAGGACCCCTGATGTACAGTGATGACGTTATTATAGTAAATGATAATAGTAATTTTCACAGATACAATTGGTAGAAGAAAAGCAGTTACCCTCCAGATGTTTTAAGCTACATTTTCCGCATGACTTTTGTTGTTATATGTACCTTGGGGTTATGGTGACCCTGAAGTAGACCTATCAGCTAGCAGTTTCTTGGCAAGGAGCTTTGACTTTGTCACCCTCTAAGGCTGAGAGAATGTGACTTGCTCAGTGTGACAGAGTGGGTTTCCATGACCACTTGAGTGGAGATTCAAACCCTGATCTTCAGTCCTAGTCCAGTAGTCAAATTATTGCACTAAACCTCCACTACAGCATCGCTGTAACCAGAAATATAAATGTATTGTCAAAGGCTTTCATGGCCGGAATCGCTAGGTTGCTGTAAGTTTTTTCAGGCTATATGGCCATGTTCTAGAGGCATTCTCTCCAGATGTTTCGCCTGCATCTATGGCAAGCATCCTCAGAGTGGTCAGTTGAAACATTCACACCTAGCTCCAACAGACAGGAATCCTTTGTCCAACCCTGGTCATTCCACATTTTCTTAACTCCAACAGACCTCACTACCTCTGAGGATGCTGGCCATAGATGCAGGCGAAACGTCAGGAGAGAATGCCTCTAGAACATGGCCGAAAAAACTTACAGAAACCAGAAATATAAACTTGGGGAAGATGTCCAAACAAATTGGTAAATGCAGCAGCAATGAATTGTGTTGAAAAGTTGGAAGTGAAGTCATTATACTTTTACTTTTTTTGTGTCAGGAGCGACTTGAGAAAATGCAAGTCACTTCTGGTATGAGAGAATTGGCTGTCTGCAAGGACGTTGCCCAAGGAATGCCCAGATGTTTTGATGTTTTACCATTCTTATGGGAGGCTTCTATCATGTCCCCGCATGGGGAGCTGGAGCTGTCAGAGGGAGCTCATCTGCGCTCTCCCCAGATTTGAACCTCTGACCTGTCAGTCTTCAGTCCTGCTGGCACAAGGGTTTAACCTACTGTGTCACTGGGGGCTTATACATTGAAGTGCACATTTCACTGTTTGGCTGCAGGGTATTTACAACAAAAATATCTTTAAAAGCTTCCTGTTTCGTCTAAGATGGACAATTGTTTCTTGCAAATAGATGTATATTGCCACTCTTTCCCCCTTTTTTCCAGACTTTATTTACCTAGAAATGAAATCGATAACCTACACAAGCCAAAAATGTGGAAGATTTTCAGCGAGAATTTTGCTGCAGAGGTGAACTTCACTGAACCGTAACCAGGAATGAGCAACAATCATTTTAGACGGAGTTACTTGCTACTCACTTTTCTCCCAGAATCATGTCCCTTTACCTCTATGTCTTCCAAGACTTTTCCTCCACATATGTAGTGAAAGCCACACTTCAGGCTAAACCAAAAGGTCGCCTGGTTTTCTCAGTATATATGCTGCTGCTTTATGGTGATTAAAATAATTAATTTTGCCAACTGGTTTGTGTGAGTAGGATGGAGTTTTTGGTGGATTTACTTCACTTTTTGTCATCTCCACTTTCCACTGAGTTTGCATTCACAGCACCTCTTAGGATGCCCGCCATAGATGTGGGCGAAACGTCAGGAGAGAATGCTTCTGGAACATGGCCATACAGCCCAAAAAACTCATAGCAACCCAACCCTTGTGATCGTAAGATATTATGACGATCTAGTACAGAAGATCATTACTGTTTAGGTACACAAAACAACAAACCACACAAAGTTTAGAAAACACAGCATGTTTACTAAAGTCAACAAATACTTTAAAAGCAAAACCACAACCTGTTAAACTTGCTTTAATAGCAGTTTTACAATAGTGTGACTGTTGTGTCCTATACAAAGTCTACAAAGTTTTATGCATCAAACTGATTCATCATCAGTTTCCGGCTATATTCGTAGGCAAGGAACAATGCACCATTGGCGGGGAATGCACGGATCATTGTGGGTTTGAGTCCAGAATACAAGGCAAACACACCTGCAAAACAAGAGCCATGAGTTAACAAAGATGTTTCTCAATAGTGCCTCACACTTAGAATCCTAGAGTTGGAAGAGACCTCGTGGGCCATCGAGTCCAACCCTCTGTCAGGAAGCAGGAAAATTGCATTCAAAGCACCCCCGACCTATTTCTGTAGAGTTCAAGTTGCAGAAAATCTTGGATGATGATAAAAAGGCCAATGCTAACTAAATACATTGCTGGGTAAAGTTGTTTTTTGAATGGCAGCTTCCAGGAACCTCCATCCAGCATATTTTTGGAACATAAGCTTGTATTGTGTGATTGGAAAACGGGCTCTATGCTTATACAGTACCACAAATCTGCCGTGCTACCTGTCCTAACAGTCCAAATTGAGCTCCTGAATAGCCATGACTACAAATGTGTTCTATAAGAAAACAACCACTAGTTATTCTGTAGAAGCAGGGAAAGTGAGCTCAGCTGGGGCTTCAAACATTACAGGTTTCACTCCCATAGCCTGTGGTGATAATTGCTAAATTCTGTCATTTTTAATTTTTTTATAATTGTAATTCTTGATAGCAGACTGGAAGTTACTTTGCATGGAACTAAAACAGTGTTTCTCAACCTTCCTAATGCCGCAACTCCTTAATACAGTTCCTCATGTTGTGGAACCCCCAACCCAAAAATTTATTTTCGTTGCTACTTTATAACTGTAATGTTGTTACTGTTATGAATCGTAATGTAAATATCTGATATGCAAGGTGTATTTTCATTCTCAAATACCTGATACGCCCAAATCTGAATACTGGTGGGGTTGGGAGGGGATTGATTTTGTCATTTGGGAGTTGGAGTTGCTGGGATTTATAGTTCACCTACAATCACAGAGCATTCTGAACTCCACCAACAATGGAATTGAACCAATCTTGGCACACAGAACTCCCATGATCAACAGAAAATACTGGAAGGGTTTGGTGGGCGTTGACCTTGAGTTTTAGAGTTGTAGTTCACCTACATCCAGAGAGCACTGTGGATTCAAACAATGATGGATCTGGACCAAACTTGACATGAATACTCAATATGCCCAAATGTGAACACTGGTGGAGTTTGGGGAAAATAGACCCTGACATTTGGGAGTTGTAGCTGCTGGGATTCATAGTTCACCTACAATCAAAGAGCATTCTGAATCCCACAAGTGATAGGATTGGGCCAAACTTCCCACACAGAACCCCCATGACCAAGAGAAAATACTGGAGGGATTTGGGAGGAATTTACAGCAATTTAGGGGAGAGCACACCTGTTCTCCCCTCCTTGCTCAGAAACAGTCCTTCTTGGCTGAAAGGTCGTCCAATCACAGCAGAAGGAGAGCTTTAGGTGGGAGGGTTCACCATTTGTTTCCAAAAAAGAAGTGAAGGACAGGCGGAGAGATCTTCAGCCTTCTCTGCCAAAGAGGTTCCTAAGACCATGAGAAATATGTGCTTTCTGATGGTCTTTGGTGACCCCTTTGAAACTCCCTTCCCAAGACATCCCTTCTCCCATAGTTCGAGCCCTCACCTTCATTCCGGAACACGCTTACAAAGGTTCCCATGAAACCAGCCTGCTTTCCTGCCATGGAGAGAACCTGGATTCTTGATTTGATACAGTCTATTGGATATACAGCAATCCATAAACACATCCCGCCAAAGCCACCACTAACCATAAGTGCAGCAGGACCTGTAAAAACCAAGCAGGGATATCATAAGACATATGACTATTTGGAGCAAAAAAAAAAAAGTGTGCACCATCTCTTTATTGCAATAAAATTAATGAAATACACCCCCCCCCCCCACACACACTTCACATCAGTCTACCTAATGGCACAATAAGTCCTGACTTAGATAAAGCCTGCATATGGATATGGTTTTCTAAGGCAGCTGGTTGCTACCATGTTTTTTGGATCAGTAAATCTGCTCTGGGCTTTAAGAAAGTTATCTAAGTTGTTGAACCAACTGGGAGATAGGACATCTTGATGTACCTTGGACATCTGAACTTCATGCGCAAAACTTGTGCGGATACTCTGCCTCAGTAATAGGGAAGCTACCAGTTGCTACGAATCTTGATCAGTTGGGAGACACATTAAAGTTAAATGTTGTTTTCCAAAAAAGGCTGATGAAGACAACTGAGGAACCAACAGTATCCAACCATGCACTAAAATGACAAGAAGGCAATTCTACAAGAATGACATATTTTTAGATGGTATTAAGAAAACCACCTGTGCCATTCCTATCTGCAGATAAATGTGGGTAATACCCTCTGTACCATCCCCTCCTTAGTGCTAGGGCTGAGCATCCCTTTTCTAGAATTCTGAAATTCAAAATGGTCCACCCTGGGTGGCTGAGAGAGGGACACCTTTTCTTTCTGATAGTTCAATGGATACAAACTTCATTTCTTGCACAAAATAATTACAAATGTATAAAATTACTTTCAGACTATAGGTATAAAGTGTATATGAAACATAAATGAAATTTGTGTTTAAGACTTGGATACCATCTCCAAGATATTTCAATATGTATGTACATGCAAATGCAATTATTCCAAAATTCCCAACAATCAGAAGCCCAAAACACACCTGGTCCAAAGCATTTCACATAAGAGATATCACCCTGTATTTAGAAGTATATTCCAGCATTTTGTTTTATAATGAAACTGTTGTCCAGTGTAGATTAAAGAAGTGTCAAATGACTGATTTAAAGAATATGATGCCAGCAAGTGCTTAATAAGAATCTAACCAGGGCAACTGAAATGATCGCTCCCTAACATCCTCTCTGACCCGTTATAAATCACACTCCTTACAGAGAACCTAAGGGGAATGAAATGGGAAGGACAATGACTAGAGTGCAGATGGCGGAAATGTTGACTTTGATGTCACAAGACAACAGTATAGAGGGCATCTCTGCTCCTCTAAGTTGGCAAGACGTGCAGCGAAAAAAAAGCTTTCTTCTCTGCACAGATTGTGTCTGTGAATTCAGTTCTAGCTGAGCTGTTCAGAGTGGTGAGAAGTTTAACACAAGTCCCCTCCACTCCAAATCCAGTATTAGAACCTTCAATGCCTTCAATGCCTTTAATAACCATTTCACAGTTAAAATATCTCGCATAAGAGCCGACTTAAATGCAGTCATTGGAGCAGAAGCCAACAAAAAAGGTGTCCAGTAACTCTGTAAGTGGGATTACACTGGATCACTGATATAGACAAGTTGCTGGTAAGAAGGACAACCTGTTTTATTGATCCCTGTCCCTCTTGGCTGGTCATCCAGGGAGGAAATGCAATTTGAAGTCAAATACAACAAATTATTAATGTGTATCTCAGAGAGGGGAACTTTCTATCCTGTTTAAAAGAAGTAGTTAGACCGCTACTGAAGAAACCCACCCTGACTCCCCTGGACCTTAATAATTACAGACCAGTGTCTAACCAAGTGTCCTAATATGGGGATGGAGGGGTGTCAACCAGTCCTGGATGGGGTTACACTCCCCCTGAAAGACTGTGATTGCAGCATGGGAGTGCTCCTGGATCCATCTCCCCAAATGTCAGCCCAGGTAGATGCGACAGTCAAGAGTGCTTACTACTAGCTTTGGCTGATACGCCAGCTGTGCCCTTCCTAGATTTGGAGGACCTTAAGATGGTTATGCACGCATTAATAACCTCAAGGCTGGACTTCTGCATTGAGTTCTACATTGGGCTACCTTTCTACCAAGTTCAGCAGTCAGACTGATTACAGGAGCATCCAGGAGTGAGCATATGACATCTATACTAAGGTCATTCCACTGGCTACCAATTAGTTTCTGGACACGGTACAAAGCACTAGCTTAGACATTTAAAATCCCTACATGGTTTGAGTCTAGATTACCTACAGGATCACCTTCTCCTATACAATCTGCCCTGAACACTGTGGTCCTCTGGGGGGCACCCGCTCCAACCAGCCAGAACCTGACTGGCGACCGTCTCTCAGAGGACTTCTTCATCGGACTGTGGAACGACCTGCTAGTAGAGCTCCAACAGCTAAATCAGCTGTCAGAATTTAAAACATCTGAAGAGATATCTCTTCTGGAAACCTATCCAGCTAGTTTTAATCACAAATATTAAACTAGCCTTATGTTTCATCTTTGTTCTGGGTATTCTGTAGAAATATGATTTAATATGTGTATTTTGTAAAATGGTTTTTAGATGATTGCATGTTTTTACTGATGTTGTAACCCGCTTCGAGCCACAAGGAGAGGCTGATAAGAAATAACAATTATAATAACAACAACAACCATTTCAAAACACTGCCAGTAATTCAGGGGGCATTGCTCTATAAGGATGAGTTGTATCTAATTAAACGAAGTCACAATCACGCCATTAACAACATACCTAATTCCTCCTTGGGTCTTCCAAATGAAAAGAACGTCCGACTCAGTTCATATCCTCCGAAAAACAAAAAGTAGCCTGGAATTTCCCGTAGCAAAGTGCTGGAGAGACCACGGTAGAATCCGAAGGG